TAAGTGTGTGGAGTTCATTTCCAATGTTTAAAATAATCCTGGCAGGAGTGATTAATCCAGCTCCTCTCTCATCTGCAGGTCATTTCAATGTTACTATTACCAATATACAGAGGCTTTTCAAATCCAAATAGCAGGATTCTGAAGTGTACTCCAGTATATCTTGTGACAACATATGGTATACAGTGGTGCTTTGTCAGACTGAAAAAGGATTAAAGTTTTATTCTTGCCTTGCTAGCACAGACTCCTTAAATGTTGAACATTTTCCAAAATGTGTCTGGTCTCACTTGATAAGTTTCTTTTTTTCGATTTGGGGAAATATTTCATCTTATTTCTCTTTAAGTGCGCATAGTTTGGTGGGAAATATGACCCTGTAATCTGATCAGAAAAACGCAATTCATATGAGCTCACAGTTGTGTGCTGGCATTTTTATTTTTTTGTGAACATTTTTGAGAATTCTTATTTATTTGAATTAGTTGTGGTAATTTGTCTAGGTCAGGGGTGTGACAAAATAAAAAGGTATAAAACATTGCCCTTCCTGTTGTAATGCAAGAATGCCTGCAGTAGCACCAAATCTTGGTATTTTATTAAATAAACCATGCAGTTTGCATTCATTTTTCAAGCAAAACCTAAATGTGGGTGAAATTCTATCCCATTCTAACCTGCTGACGTGGAAAAGACAATACATGAATCAAATGTGTTTGGTAATTTTTCTTCTTACTGTAATGCAGCTTTGAACCATCATCTGAACTAAAACTGGATTTGTGCTCAACAGTATTTGGGGCATGTATTGCATGTTCACTGACTTTCCCCCAAGCAATAATTGCATTTTACCTAAGCACACTTGTCTGCAAATATGTTGTTAGAGCATGTAGACATCAGTTCCATCAATATTTCCCACTGGTGCATGGGTGTGATTGATTGACATTTCTGTGTTAGTAGGTTATGCTTACCACAGTGGTTTCAGACAGGAAGTCATGCAGTTACTGAGCTGACATCCACAGAGGTGAAGATTTGTTCTTTTCTTGTAAATTCTATGCACCCTTTTGTTCGTTCTTGTGTAGTTTCTGTGAAGTTTATGAAATCAGCATTGCTCTTTATCTGATTTAGGGAAGCCTTGACTGATACTTATACATTTTTGATGTATTTTGATTTTACAGCACTGCACTCAGATGTGAAAATGATGTAAAATAGCAATCATTGTTCAAACAAAACAATGTGATACTTTCAGAAACCATGGTGAGCTCCTAAATACAAGCATTGTTCCTTGAAGGGAAAATGAAAAGACGTGCAATATTTTTTTGTGCAAGGTCACCTACCTACCCACCTACCTACCTACCTACCTACCTACCTACCTACCTACCTACCTACCTACCTACCTACCTACCTACCTACCTACCTACCTACCTAC